GATTGTGACCTCACTATGCTTGCCGGAGCTACTGTAGTATCCGAGTAGTGGATGGAGAGCTGGGACCAGCCAGTCTAAGAAGTTTCTATATTTGCTGTATGCTGCAAAGCCTATCCTATATGTTATATTTATATAAAAGGAAATCTGTTCTATAAGTGGATATGTAATAAAAGATCGAACATACTACACTATCAGCACTTTTATATGTCTCTTATGAGCTTTAACCCTTTATGGAGAGAGTGAAAGAAGACCATAGATGTTGCTGCAAGAGAACCATAGTTTAAAAACCTCATCATACCTCTTAAATATTTTGAGGCCCATCCATGGAGAGCAGAAGGAGACCATACATGTTGTTGCAAGAGAACCAGAGTTAAAAAGCCTGGTTAAAACTCTTAAAGCTTTTTTAGGTCCATCCGTGGCGGTAGGGGTACACCTGTAACAATTGCACATGGTGGAATCGAGTGCACTTTGGTGCTCTTGTTATAGATTTGCGTTTTCACATAAGTGAACACAATAATAATGTGACAATTCCAGATTTGCACATAGGATTTTGTTGCTTTTAATATATATCATGTGGAACGGAGTCCAATTTAAATGCACCATGTTTTGTGTATATCATTGGAATAGTAGTGAAATTTGTATGAAAAATATTATTTGAGATTTTCACTTTATGCATATGATAATAATTGAGGTTTAAATATTTTTTCACAGCCACTGGACGAAAAGTGCTACACTTGCATTCAGCTGATTAATAAGTAGGACTGAAGAGGACACCTGCCCTCTACATACAGCAGGTAACATAAGTATTAAACTCGTCACCATTTTTCTCTGTAAATATATTTCTAAAGGTGCTATTGAAATAAAATTGTCACCACATGTCTGTAAGAACCCATGCAATCCATACATACAAAGAAACCAAAACAAATAAGTTCAGCAATTAAGTTGTGTGTAATAAAAAGGAATGACACAGGGAAAAAGTGTTGAACACACTAACTGATATTTATTTTATACTTCATACAAAATCTGTTGTTGATAATGACAACTTCAAGATGCCTCCTGTATGGAGAAACTAGTCGCATGCATTGCTCAGGTGTGATTTTGGCCCTTTCTTCCACACAATCAGTCATCAAATCTTGATTCTGTGGGATTGTTCTATGAACTCTGATCTTTAGTTCTTTACATAGATTTTATATTGGATTCAAGTCAAGTGATTGGTTGAGTCATTCTAGCAGCTTTATTTTCTTTCTTTGAAACCAATTAAGAGTTACCTTGGCTTTGTGTTTTTGGGATCATTGTCTTGCTGAAATGTCCACCCTCATTTCATCTTCATCATTCTGGTAGATGGCAACAGATTTTCATCAAGAATGTCTTGGTACATTTTTCCATTCATCCTTCCTTCAATGAATTGAAGTTTGCCAGTACCGTATGCTGAATAACAGCCCCACATCATGATGTTCCCACCTCCAAACCTCAGTGTTGGTATGGTGTTTTTGGGGTGATGTGCAGTGCCATTTGACCTCCAAATATATTGTGTATTATGGCATCCAAAGAGTTCAATTTTGGTCTCATCTGACCAGACTATAGTCTCCCAGTATTTTTGTCTAAATGTTGTGCAGCAAACTTTAAACGAGCTTCAACATGCTTTTCTTCATCAATGGAGTCTTGCGTGGTGAGCGTGCATACAGGCAGGCCATGGCAGTTGAGTGCATTACCTATTGTTTTCTTTGGAACAATTGTACCTGCTAATTCTAGGTCTTTCTAAAGCTTTCCACAAGGTCCTTGGCTCTTGGACAACTCTTCTGATAATTCTTTTCACTTTTCTGTCAGAGATATTGAGAGGAGCACCTGGTCGTGGCTGATTTATGGTGAAATTATGTTCTTTCCAAATTATGGCCCCAGAAGTGCTCACTGAACATTCAGATGTTTAAAAGTCATGTAACCAATGCCATCAGTATGTTTTGCAACAATAAGGTTCCAAAGGTTTGAGAGAGCTACCCATCATGAGATGTTTCTTGTGTGACACCTTGGTAATGAGACACCTTTTTATAAGCTATCCATTGAGACTGAACCAGCTGATATTAATTTGCACTGACAAGGGGCAATATTGCTTTCTAATTACTGATAGGTTTCAGTTGGTGTCTTGCATTTTTGCACCTCCCTTGTCTTCAGTACTTTTTCCCTGTGTCATTCTGTTTTATTACACCTAACTTAATTTCTGCACGTATTTGTTTTGGTTTCTTTGTATGTATGGATTGCATGGGTTGTTACTGACGTAGTCAAAATTTCATGTCAATAGCACCTTTAGAAATAGAAATATATTTAGCAAGAAAAATTGTGACGTGTTCAGTACTTATTTTACCCACTGTATACATACTATGTATATACGAGGGATGTTAAAGTCAATCTGGGACTTTTGAGTTTAAATAATAAATTAACAAATTTCAAGGAGTATTTTTTTACATACTTCCCTGCTACATTTCTACACTTATCCTAGCGTTTAATGCCTGGAAAGTTTCGGCATAGAAAGATTTGTCAGTATGCTTGAACCACCCTAGGACAGCCTGCTTCACTTCGTCATAATTGTGTTCACCATTCTCACAGAAAGATTAGACTCTTGTGCAATTTCATGACAGGTTATGCGTTGATTAGCCAGGATCAGGTGTGCCATGTGCTGAATGTTCACAGGAATGACTGCTGTGGGTTGGAACCACCAGGGCTGGGATCATCAATGATGGACATACGGCCATCTTCAAGCACAGTACAGCTGAGCGTCTCATCGCCGTATTGTGCTTGAAGTCTTCCGCAGATATCTGCGGGTTTTACGCCTTTGTGAACAAGAAACATCATCACTGCATGCTGGTCCATGCACACACTATCACTGTTGTCTGCCATCTTGATTCCCAGTCTCTGGACTGGCCTGCAAAATGTGTGCCACCTATCAGTAATAGTACACACTTGCCATTTACTACTTCGTGTAGTACGACCACGCTAGCATCCCTTTTTTATCCCTGTAACATTAAAAGTCCTGGTTTGACTTGAACACCCCTTGTATATATACAGTATATAGAAAGAGAGGGCTGTGGAAGCAAAAACAGCTTCCACCTACACTAAATTGACAAAATGTATTGAGACACCTGCCTTTACGTGCACATGAACTTTAATGGCATCCCAGTTTTAGTCCATAGGGTTCAGTATTGAGTTGGCCCACCCTTTGCAGCTATAACAGCTTCAACTCTTCTGGGAAGGCTGTCCACAAGGTTTTGGAGTGTGTCTATGGGAGTGTTGGACCATTCTTCCAGAAGTGCATTTGTGAGGTTGGACGAGAAGGCCTGGCTCTAATTCATCCCAAAGGTGTTCTATGAGGTTGGGGTCAGGACTCTGTGCAGGCCAGTCAAGTTCCTCCACCCCAAACTCGCTCATCCATGTCTTTATGAATCTTGCTTTGTGCACCGTTGCGTAGTAATGTTCGAAACATCCCCAAACTGTTCCCACAAAGTTGGAAGCATGAAATTTCCAAAATGTCTTGGTATGCTGACACCTTAAGAGTTCCCTTCACTGGAACTAAGGGGCCAAGCCCAACTCCTGAAAAACAACCCCACACCATAATCCCCCCTCCATCAAACTTTACACTTGGCACAATGCAGTCAGGCAAGTACCGTTCACCTGGCAATCGCCATACCCAGACACGACCATCAGATTGACAGACAGAGAAGCGTGATCACTCCAGAGAACACATCTCCACTGCTCTGGAGTTCAGTGGCGGCGTGCTTTACACCACTGCATCTGATGCTTTGCATTGCACTTGGTGATGTAAGACTTGGATGCAGCTGTTTGGACATGGAACCCCCATTCCATGAAGCTCTCTATGCACTGTTGTGCTAATCTGAAGGCCACACAAAGTTTGGAGGTCTTTAGTTATTGACTCTGCAGACAGTTGGCGACTTCTGCACACTGTGCGCTTCAGCATGCGCTGACCCCACTCTGTGATTTTACATGGCCTACCACTTCTTGGCTGAGTTGCTGTTGTTCCCAGTTGCTTCCACTTTAATACAATACCACTAATAGTTGACCGTGGAATATTTAGTAGCTAGGAAATTTCACGGATGGACTTATTGCACAGGTGGCAACCTATCATGGTATCACGTTTGAATTCACTGAGCTCCTGAGAACGACTCATTCTTTCACAAATGTTTGTAGAAGCAGTCTGCATGCCTAGGTGCTTGATTTTATATAACTGTGGCCATGGATACTTATGACAATATAGTGTACCTTACAGCCTTTGTGGGGTTTTGGTGGGCTGAGTCATGAGTTTCCTGGGGATTTCCAGAATAAATTTCCTTGCCCTGTTCTACTCTCTTTGCTGCTTTGGCTGTTCACACGCTTCCTGTTACATGTTCATATGGGGAGAGTGCAACTCTTTTTTCATGTCTACAGCAGGTGTAGAGCGAGAACACCACAAAAAACTTAATGACGTTTTAAAGCAATACAGGGCTCAAATGGTGGCCTAATTGTCTAACCTCTACCAAAAATCAAAATAGTTTTAGGTGGTGGACTGGTCCTTTAACATAAGGATGGGCATTCCAGTTCAGCACTGCAGCAAATAAGAATGATGTGCCTCTTATTGTCCATGTATGTTTATCACATGACATCATTTTGTTTCCCTCTTTTAAAAAAAGGGCTCTTGTGTAATAAGCATCTATTTCCAGATCTACTGTCAGCATCGCTATCAGCAGGATGCACTCTGCTATACTTCTACATACATTCTGCCTTGAAGAATATTTTTAACGGACATATAGACTAGACGGCAACATATAAAGATATTTTTTTAGAGGTAGCTATTGGGTATGTAATTTTTTTATATATATATAATAGAGCTGTAGTAATGTTTGAAGTCAACCTTATAATTTTTATGAATATGTAATATGACAGAACCAATTGTGATTTCTGTTCTTTCTGTTTTCTAGGTTTTGCTGCCAATCATGTTTGTGTTGTTAATATTAATGACATCAAGCTTTGTAGCTCTTGATGCTTTTTGCCCAGTCTTGTGTAACTGCTCAGTGAAGGACTTCATTGCTTGCTCGGGTACTTCAATTACAGATATTGCTGCATTATCCATTCCTTATAATTTTACATATGTTCTTATAAACTGCACTCAAGCTACAGAACTGACCAATACCAGCTTTCAAGCAATGCCTGTTACTTTACGTCTGTTTTTCGAAGGCAACCAATTTTCTGTGATAGAATCTGGGGCTTTTCAAAAATTCCCTCTTCTGAAATCACTGATGAAGCTAACAAAAAATGCTATACGAAGTCTACCTCCAGGAATTTTCCACAGATTATTTCATCTGGAGCAGTTGTTTCTTGATCAGAATGCATTGTCTGATCTTGATCCATATATATTTCAAAACCTGACAAACTTATCGGATCTCATATTGAACAGAAATCTGCTTAGAGAATTGCCTGCTGGATTACTAGATCATCTTGTAAATCTTAAGAAATTAAATTTATCCAGAAATAAGCTGGCATCTTTGCCAAAGTATATTTTCAACTCATTGTTCAAACTGAAAATTTTATTTCTCTATAATAATTGTCTGGAGATATTAATACCTGGAATGTTCGATAATCTCACTGAATTGGAAGAGTTACATTTGTATGCAAATTCAATTGTAATGGTCGACAAAGAAGCATTCTACAATTTACCAAAATTGAATCTGCTAATGCTTCACAAAAATAAAATAAATATATTACCTGAGGGACTATTTCTCCATTTGCCTTTGTTAGCTAAACTGACTTTGTATGAAAACCCTTTAACCGAATTTCCCAATGTGCTTTTTGGCAAAATGGAGAATCTCAAAGATTTGTGGCTTTATCACACAGATCTTTTAACAGTACCTAATTTTGTTTTTAGTAATCTAACTAATCTAAAGTTATTGATCCTAACACAAAACCCAAAGCTTCAGAGTCTTCCAAAAGAATCATTCAGTGGTCTGAGCAAACTTGAGGAGCTGTCCTTGCATTCAAATAGCTTGAAATTTCTTGGTGAGGGCTTGTTCCAGGATCTTCAACATCTGAAAATTCTTTCTCTACATAACAATGTTTTTGAGGATCTTCCTGAGAATTTGTTTCATCCTCTTATAAATCTTGAAATTGTTTACCTAAACAAGAGTAAACTCCGTAACTTGCCAGGTACCTTCTTTAAAACCTTGACGAAGCTTAAAAACATTAGTCTTGATGACAATCCTTGGGCATGTGATTGCAGGCTTAAAGATTTCAAGCTCTGGCTTGAAATGAATGTAAAAATAGTGCAGAATTCCATGTCCATTTTTTGTGAACATCCTTCCGCACTCAAAGGGAAATCTGTCCTTCATTTTGATGCACCAATCTGTAGCTATACAACCATAGCAAATGACTATTCCTATGAGGTAACCACATCGTCTGTTTTAGCCAGTACTACACAAAGCATAAGAGGTGAGATGACCCTTACTCCTACTAAACTGCTAGCTGATCATTACACACACACCAATGTATCTGTGAATCCAAGTCATGAGGAAACAACTCTTATACCATTAAAAAATGATTTATCCAAAATTGCTGATCCTACCACTAGTTGGAATAATAATGATTCTTCAAGCACATCTTCGGCTATTCATATGGGAACAGACCATAAAATTCAAAGAAGATTTACATATTCGTCTTCTTAGAAAGTTATTTGGATTTTGCCTAGCATATGGAAAAATAATCTCTTATCTCATTATGGTTACAGCAGCTATTCAAGTTCTTCTTCTAGTTGTGACATGTTTCATTATGCTGAAAATAAGGAAAATTCATACTTATTTCAGTAGTGCTAAAGATCCTGTAGAGCTACAGCGTATCTTAATACCAATAAGTCCTAATTCTGTAAAGAAATAATAATTATATTGCATGTTTATATATTTGCAATGTTCCTTATATTTGTGTTATGCACTTCTTAATTACCTTTACAAGTAATTTTATATTCATTTAATGTGTATAGGTATACAGTATAGCATATTGTCTTCAGTTTTATTTTTTGAAAATTCTGTGGTTTTCATAGTGCTATATGTTTCCAAACCTGGTTGTAAAGCTCTTAAAATAGTCAAGGGATTTTGTGTAGTCATGTTCCTCAGGTTCTCCTTTTCTGTAATGGACATTTCTCAGTAAGTCATCAAATGTATATATTAAAGGATGACTTTGGCAATGTTCATTTTCAGAATTTATTTAGTGTCAATTTACACAGCAATATTTTATTTGATTCTTCTTTGATGTGGTGACAGGTTTGCATTTTTTTCAATACTGTCCCATCTTGGTGGGTCACATTTAGCATTCCTGTGTATTCCTTTTGGGATTCTTTTTTTTTCTTTTGTTAAACTTTTTAAATAGGCATTTTATGAGCTATTACTGTAATTGGTAAAAAAAATCTTTTAACATAAGGGAGAAATGAGAGCTCAAAATATTGCAATTGGTAGCTTGATGTCCTTTCCCCAATGCGTGTCTTTACTACATATCTATAAAGCCAATGGGAGAAGATTCTTGATCTAGTTCACAAACCATCCCAGGCATGGGTTATAGCTGAGAACAAACGCCTAAGGGCTTTCCAATAACTTGAAACTAGAGATTGTGACAACCTTGCCCAGTGTCTGTTATTGCCTATAGATATATATTATATTCACTACTAATTTCCCTTCCCATTTTTAAGATTGTGTATTAATAGGCAACAGGAGAATACATAATAGAATGAAGAAGAGTGCATTATGATATCTTAGAAATAAAATATTCTGCATACCTCCTGTTGAGATTGCTGTAATGTGTGGCAAAACATCAAACATGGTCTGGTGTGTTGCATTGAATGGCACCCTAACACCCCTAGGCATCACAGCACAACACACTTGACTTTTATTGCACACAAGTGGATCATCAATTTGTAGATTAGACAGTAGAGGCATTGTGGATTAGCTATTACAATCACTCTTCCTCCCTATTTACCATCTGTTGAGGATATTAATCACATAGACTGTATTTTCTATAGGTTTACTGTCCTATGCACTTGCATTATGGGATGGAACAGTAAAACCAAACGGTTGTGCAAATCATAAATATTGAACAATTGGATACATTTATTTACCTTAAAATCTTTTTCTGCCAAAAAAATATGGTGAAACTGAAAATTCCATTTAAATATGATACATTACACACAGATTGTTCCTGGAACAGCCACTTTAGATGTAAGCGTTAGTCTTTTTATCCAGATTGTGAACCAGTTAACGTTAAGGCAAAGAAGTACATTTTTACTAAAAAATTGTGTGATTTAGCAATGTTGACATGTGCTGAGCACTCGTGAAGTGTGACATTTAAAAAATAGGACTACTTTAGTAGTTTAGTGTTAACCACTTGCCCTTCAGAGGATTTACCCCCCTTCCTGACCAGGCCATTTTTTTGCGATTACGGCGCTGCATTACTTTTACTGACAATTGCACGGTCATGCAATGCTGCATCCAAAATGAAATTTACGTCCTTTTTTCCCACAAATAATTTGATCGCCTCTACGTTTTTATTTTTTGCGCTATAAACAAAAAAAGACAATTTTTAGAATAAAACTATATTTTTGACTTTTTGCTATTAAACATGTCCAGTAAAAAAATGTAAAAAATTAAATTTAGTCATAAATTTAGGCCAAAATGTATTCTGCTACGTCTTTGCTAAAAATAAAATCCCAATATATGTAAATTAATTGGTTTATGTGAAAGTTATAGCGTTTACAAATGGTGGTTTAGATGCTGGAATTTTTTTTTTTCACTAGTATTGGTGGCAATCAGAGACTTAAAATGGGACTGCAGCGGACATTCTGACACTGGGGGGGAACTGATTTGGTGCCACTGACATCCCCAGTGACACCAATACAGTGATCAGTGCTACTAAAAAGCACTGACACTGTACTAATGGCACTGGTGGGTTAACTTGGGGCAATCAAAGGGTTAACTGTGCGCTGTTTTACTGCGTTTGCTGTGTCTGTGGTTCACTGTAAGCACACTGCTTTGTTTGCCATACAAAGCAGTGTGCAGGAGCTTACAGGGGAGAGATCTGGATAGTTTACATACAGGTCTCTCCCCTGTCGGAAATACTCGGCGATCACCGGGTGCCAGCGAGTAATCACCGGCTGGGACCCTGTGATTGACAGTCGAGGCTGTGAGTAGCGGTGCGGGTAGCGCCCCCTACCGAGAACTGCAAAATATATATGTGATTTTGCACACCTCTGCCACCCTGTAGCAGTTTTTCTGCTATAGGGCGGAGGGGAAGCGGTTAATTAGTGAGACATTCCTTTTTATGCATCTTTGTCTTACAAATAGACACATCCCGTCTACCAGTGTAAAAAAAATATTGTTAATTGAGTGGGCTGCACCATAAACTTTTCTCAGTAAGGATGTGAGAGAAGCACAAATGCGGTTATTAAAATAGAACAAAGGTTTCAGAAAAAGTTTCCAGTTCATGTCACATCTGAGTATTGAGTAATCAAAGTATAATGAAATATCATGGACTCATTAATCCACAAACAAGGGTGTCCATAAAAAGGCAAATGATTGTTTGGCTTAGAATAAGTACCTCTAAAGCATAGTGGTTTTTATTAAGGAAAGATTAGAAACTCTGTCACGTGACTAGTACTCGGACTGACTTTTATGGCTTCTGCATCCATAGTTAGTTCCTCTGTAACCATGGGATTGTACACCCCATTAACACACATCATACCATAACAATGTACTTAATAAAATAAAACACATGACAAGGACTGTGGGAAAGTTTAGGCTGCATCCCCTTTATTGGGTTTAAAGACGTTTTTTAATTATGAAATAAACGTATCCTTTCGTACCAAACAGAACCGCTGTTAACCATTACCAGACCAACAAGCATAGTCACCAAGACTCAGGCAGGAAAAACACTTTACTAACCACTGTTCATTCACAAAGTGGGCAACATTACCCCATAAGGATGAACCGCGACAAGGGAAAATGGCAAAAAGGAGAGTGGGGCAAGAGAGCAGGTCAAAAGATCCAAAAGGAAAGCTGAAGATAATCCAGAGGTGAGTTCAGATGACAAACCTGAAATAACTGTTGACATCGACCAGTGCCAGGGAATATACAGGTGAAAGTATACACTCATTGAGCAGCTGTTTCCCATGAAAAGTTCTGTCACCAATCTGGGATTCAGATGGCTGAAAATCTGCCCAGCAGCTGACATAAATCTTTCTAATCTTTCTAGCAACCTGAAACACACAACAGAAAGAACCAGTAAAGATCACCTAGAGGACTTGTACTTAATAGTCATCATAGCCCTCTATTAGGACTATAATTCATTTTAAAAAACAAACAGGTGATAGAGGTGACAAATCAAATGGAGCCACTTTTCTATTTTTCTTCTTTCGTGAACCGAACATTTCTATACCGAACAAGGTTTGTGCTTCAGATACTATTTTGAGAAATAGCCAGGCTTTTGATACCAACATTCTTCTTAAAATGGAAGTTGCTTAACTGCCTCTGATTTGAATACTTTTCACTGATGCAGGACAAGAATGCAGCAAGTCCTAATGTACAACATTTTGATGTGCTCAGCATGGCAGCAAGGAAACTATCATCAAGGGGTATATTAGCTCAACACAATGCAGCAATAACTAAAATTGTTTTTCTTATACAGTCAGGTCCATAAATATTGGGACATGGACACAATTCTAACATTTTTGGCTTTATACACCACCACAATGGATTTGAAATGAAACGAACAAGATGTAATTTAACTGCAGACTGTCAGCTTTAATTTGAGGGTATTTACATCCAAATCAGGTGAACGGTGTAGGAATTACAACAGTTTGCATATGTGCCTCCCACTTTTTAAGGGACCAAAAGTAATGGGACAATTGGCTTCTTAGCTGTTCCATGGCCAGGTGTGTGTTATTCCCCTCGTTATCCCAATTACAATGAGCAGATAAAAGGTCCAGAGTTCATTTCAAGTGTGCTATTTGCATTTGGAATCTGTTGCTGTCAACTCTCAAGATGAGATCCAAAGTGCTGTCATCATCAGTGAAGCAAGCCATCATTAGGCTGAAAAAACAAAACAAACCCATCAGAGAGATAGCAAAAACATTAGGTGTGGCCAAAACAACTGTTTGGAACATTCTTAAAAAGAAGGAACGCACCAGTGAGCTCAGCAACACCAAAAGACCCGAAGACCACGGAAAACAACTGTGGTGGATGACCAAAGAATTCTTTCCCTGGTGAAGAAAACACCCTTCACAACAGTTGGCCAGATCAAGAACACTCTCCAGGAGGTAGGTGTATGTGTGTCAAAGTCACCAATCAAGAGAAGACTTCACCAGAGTGAATACAGAGGGTTCACCACAAGATGTAAACCATTGGGAGCCTCAAAAACAGGAAGGCCAGATTAGAGTTTGCCAAACGACATCTAAAAAAGCCTTCACAGTTCTGGAACAACATCCTATGGACAGATGAGACCGAGATCAACTTGTACCAGAGTGATGGGAAGAGAAGAGTATGGAGAAGGAAAGGAACTGCTCATGATCCTAAGCATACCACCTCATCAGTGAAGCATGGTGGTGGTAGTGTCATGGTGTGGGCATGTATGGCTGCCAATGGAACTGGTTCTCTTGTATTTATTGATGATGTGACTGCTGACAAAA